GCTGCGTTGGCCGTAACTCCTTTTGTGTCATCAGGTGGAAGACCAAGGCCTTTAATAAGAGAATCCTTTGTGACTGAATCAAAATCACTTTCATTTTGGCTATCTGCAACATAGAGGCGTTTATCTATTTCTCGCGGTATTGGTCGGATCTCAGTGTTAAGTTCATTCTCAATCTTTTTGAGAGCATGTCTAGGTGGAAATATATTAAATCACAGACTCACCTATCGCTGAATGTGACAAGATTGACGGCAATTCCTAGGTGGCCAAAACGGCCGGACCGCCCAATGCGATGAAGATAAGTCTCAGAGTATTTAGGAAAATCAAAATTAATAACTACGTTGACTGTTGGAATGTCAATGCCACGGGTGAGGAGATCTGTGCAAACTAAATTACGGCAAGCACCATTGCGAAAGTCATGGAAGACGCGATTGCGATCTTGTTGGTTCATCTTTGAATGAATATAATAGCATGAATAGCCAAGTTGCGTAATTTTCTTTGCTAAGAGCTCAACCCTTTGGGCGGAACTGCAAAATATTATGGATTGACATATCTGGAGCTTAGAAAACAGTGTATTTAGACAGTGGACCTGAAATGAAAAAATAAGATGCTTACTTTATGTTTCTCTTCTACATATGCATAGTATTCTGTAAGACCCCTTAGAGTCAACCTTTCCATGAGGTTAACCTGATAGGGCTCTTTGAGATGACTTTTCATAAATGATTGAAGGGTGAGAGGATAGGTAGCGGAGTACACCATCACCTGACGCTCAGGCTTGACTTTATTCAGAATAGTCTCTACTGCACCTTTAAGCTCCTCGGATAGAAGTTTATCAGCCTCGTCAAGCACAACCACCTTGCACGAATTCACATTCAGGAGGTTTCTCTCAATTAGGTCTACGAGGCGGCCAGGGGTACCAATAACAACGTGAACAACTTGGCTGAGTCGGATAAGATCATCCTTTAGCAATACACCGCCAATTACGAGCATGACTTTGATGGCTGTATGCTTTGCTAATTCAATGCATATTTGACTTGTTTGTAGGGCAAGCTCCCGCGTAGGAACAAGAATAATGGCCTGAATTGCATT